ATGGCGTAGAGGTAATAATAATAATAATTATTATTATTATTCTATTTTTCGTTTTTTGAATAATTTTCTGTAAGAAATATAACTTATATACAGTCTTATATATAGTCAGGATAAGAAACTATAATTTATATATATATATATATATATATATATATATACATATACAGATATATATATGTATATGTATATATATTTATAATGACAAATTGACATGTTAATATAATAAATCTTGATAAATCTGAAGTAACATAAAAATTGCAATTTTGTATATGATTTAGCAACATGTAAAATAACAATGATTATCGATAGATTCAAGGTACTGAAGGCAGAGCAGGAATGGCAGCAATTTACGATGCAGATGGTACATTGGATATAAATAAATTAACCGACGACATTAAGGAACAATTACCTGTCTATGCCAGGCCGCAGTTTGTTAGAATCCTGACAAAAATTGATCTCACAGGTATTGGTTTATGTATATACAATATATATAAATATAATCGATAACTTAATTGTTTGCATTAGTCTATAAACTGTGCAAACTTTAACAACAAAATTATGATTATATTTGAAAAAAATGCTTATAAAATAGATATTAAATATGAGCATTATAAACATTCTGATATAATAAATTAAATATTAAGAAACTTATATGTTATATTAAGAGAAAAGTTAAATAATGCGAAGTGTGCTTAATTTTTTATTGAATTTTGAAATATATGAGGCGAATGTGTTAATATATTAAACTAAGTAAATGGACGAACATAGAATAAACGCTAATTATTCATATGAAATGTTTCTAGGAACGTTCAAATTGAAAAAGAAAGATCTCCAGGAAGAAGGATATAATCCGCATAAAGTTCAAGACAAACTATATTATTTAAACGCAAAGCTTGGTTATCAATTATTAACATCAGAAGTTTATGATCAAATTCAACAAGGAAAAGTCAAACTTTAAATATATATATATATTTTTTTTTCTTAGAAAAATGCAAACTATGGCAATAATTAATATTTTACAAAGCATTTACCGTTATAAATATACATGGACTATTATTATTATATAATTGAATCTCAGAAATTTGATTCACTTAAAAAGTAAAACAACCGTTTTTCAGTAATTAAATGGAATTACATGTGCATCAACGTATTTCAGTCAGGATAGATTTTATACTTGTTAATTATATTTATACCAAGCTTTTGTTCCGTCTGCTGAATTTGCAGACACGGTATGGTGACAATATATTCATAGAAACTGAAGGGATCTATTAAATGACAGGAGGTGGATGTTAAAAACTCGTTAAAATGCAGTTAAGATAAAGTATAATATATAAAAATGTAAATATTATAATCTGGATGTAACTAAAAAAAAGTTAAATTTGTTCATACAAATAGATCTAACTTAAATATGCGGTTAATAATTATAGTAACAACATATTTTTGACCTAGAAATATTTTTATCTTATTTATTACGTTTTGAGAAATAAATTTCAATTTTATAAATTACAACAATCTTGATATTTTAACAAGATATTTTTTAAATATTTCATGTTTAATTATATCTAGTTATGTCCAGATCATAATATTTTTTCACGTTAATATTTGTATTGTTTTATAAAAAAACAGTTGAAAAATAATAAATTTTTATTATATAAATTATTTGTTATTTATCTATGGCCGTATTCCGTTTCACGCATGATGTGTATCGTATCGAATTACAATAACAGTAATGTTATTTTTATAAGAGATTTTAAATGCTTTAGCATCTCGTGGATAATAAATAAAATGTATTATTTAATTAATAGATTTAATTAATAGATTCCTCAGAATCCTCAATAAAAGCATAATTGACAATAGCTCTCACTTTCTCTTCGGTATCATTGTGTTTCTTAAACTTAAAAACCAAGCTCGAAAGCAGAATTTTAGTGTGTAAAGTGAATGCAAAATCGAAAATATTCGTAATTATATTCACAAATATATTCAAATCGCATAAAAAGTATTTATTCAATTTTCCATAAATATGAAAAAAGTGGTATTTGTACTCGTATTTATATTCATTATTTATTCATTTATTCGAATATTGGATATACTCATAAAACACGCTAATTACGCCGCACACACATTATCTCCTATCTGCTCCCTCGAGCGCACGCTCGAGGGTTGAATGATAGTAGCGATAGTACACCGACCGCGCACGCCACCCTCCATCCCTAAGCGACCTTCGCCCGAAAACAATGATCAAGGCCACGGGCGAGTTTTCGAAATTGAATGATAACACGCCATGCAAAGACAAAGCCCACGATCTCACTATTGAAAATATTCAATGTATTTCGTGAAATAAGTGAATATTAAATAATCCGTGAATTTAAATATTACGTTTTAAATAATATCCGATGAGTGTATCCCGCGTTTTCTTCCTTTAATAGATTCGTTACGACTCACTTGTTACCTTAGATATTTTCGTTGTTTTACACGTGTAATAAGCGATTGTTACTTACATAATGCAATTAAATATTCGTAAGCGCATCGACATGACAATTACTTACCGCCGAGATATTAAAAATAATAGCTAATTACATTCAAATCTGCGAAGAATCCGCAACATATGCAAGATTTGCTAAACTTTAAGCGTCGTTAAATAAACGATACCGTCTAAATGTCTCTGTAAAATAGTGATTTATAATTCTTGTGTTCAGTCGCGGTGACTTCTGTTCCAGATAAATAAATGCGAAAGATTTATTTACTTCATCGTTATCGCGTTGAAACGCTTACATATGTCACAAAAGTTGGTTAAACGCGCGGACTGCTGAATATTAATTA